GCGGAGCAGTTCACATCCTGAGCTGAATACAACCAGTGTAATCTTAAATTGTCAAAAAACTGAAATCACCATCTTGTATTACTATTATAATCTTAAAATGGGCAATGACTTGAGTGAGGCTTCCTGTGTTGGATTGGATTTATACCCTGCCCTTCACTTGGAGTCTCAGAGCGGCTTACACTCTCCTTTCCTTTTCCCCTCCCCACACCCTGTGAGGTAGGTGGGGCTGAGAGAGCTCCTTCGAGAACTGCTCTTGAGTGAACAGCTCTGAGAAACCTTGTAACTGACCCAAGGTCACACCAGCAGCTGCATGTGGAGAAGTGGGGAATCGAATCCGGTTCTCCCAGATTAGTGTATGCACTCCTAACCAATGCTCCCTCTAAGCTGTGGAGTCTTGTGAGCAAAAATTCTGCTTTGTGAGCTGCCCGGCATTAAAGTCGTGAGCGAGGGATTTGGCTGCTGCACAAATTAGTTTGCTCTGGAGCCCTCCTTCCAGAGCTAAGACAAAAAACGTGTGAGGTGGAGACTAAAAAACTGTGAGCTGGCTCACAGTAACTCAGTTTAGAGGGAACACCAATGAGTTAGCCAGCCCTCTAGGTATTTGGTTTCCTGTCTTAGACACTAGACTATAATAAAATGGATTTAGAAAGTGCCAATGTAGTTAAATTTAATCTCCTGACATATGGCTAAACTTAATCCCTAGTAATGTGAAAGTCAAAGGTGTTTTTAGTAATATGGTGCCTAATACATGCTGCTAAGTATAAGCCTAAATGTTCAAGCTTACATGAGAAAATTCCAGTGCACAGAGGTTGTGTTTGTCGATGAGTAAGATGCTATGTTGATGATTTAAAACCTACCCTTTTATTCCCTCTTGTAACCTACTGAAATTATATTCTTTGGCCACTTCTTATTTAAATACGATAACATTTTATAAATTTTTAAAAAATGAAAAAAACCCTCTGCTTAGAGGGAACAGTGCTCCTAACCACAAGACCAAAATGCTCACATCACACAGAGTGAGCACTATATTGTGTGCTGTGACATTGTGACAGCCAGGTACTTTCTCAGCTGCCCGTCCTCTCCCCTCACATCTTCCAGCAGCTGTGACTGCATTGGTGTTAGGTTTTCATGGTTTGGGAGTGGTGGTCAGTCACACACTGTTAATCTATGACTGTGCCGGGTTGTGTGCTGCTGGGGAGGTAGGATAGGAATCTGAGGTAACTTCTGTTCCTCCCCTCTCCCCGGAATGATTCACCCCAACACCTTAGATTCACAACAAAAGGAATATGATGTTTTTGTCTCTTCTTTAGAAGGGCTCCATGCTTAGTGTTGGTGGATGAGGCAAGGAATGGAACGAGGTGCTGGTTATTTACGGCAGGGGATAGCAGAACTCTTGCTTTAAAACAGTTATCACACACACACACACACACACACACACACACACACGTTAGCTTTACAGAACTGACAGGGTGTTTCTGTCGGAGAGAGTGATTTCTCTCGAAACTCTTCCTTAAACCCATGAATGTCAGCTCTTGATACAAGGGTCAGCTTGTCTCTTAAAATATTTCCCTCAGGTCGAATCTGCATTTGCATTTTTAAATTAGTTTCATGCTGCTGTGACGCCGTCTTTCTCTATGCTTGTTTGAATGTTGTTTGGAGAAGATTCTTTTAAAGCAGTGCAGAGGTGCAATGACAGTGGAACCGCCCTGAAAGGACGATAAACATATGTGGACGTGCTGGGACACCGGTGGGAAAGACAAATGCAGATTCAGCCTCAGTCTCTCCCCCACTTCATCTCTACATATGAATTAGTGTTGTTTAAAATTGGTAGATTTGCAGTTTAGTATTGGTTATATTGTTAGAGGGTTAAATTACTAGAATATGTATTTGTAACCTGGAAGATACATGTAATTTGTAACAAATTCTATGTATGTTGAAAGTTTTTTAAAAATAAAAACCTATTCCCCCCCCCCCAATATCTATTTTCCCCATCTCTAACCCACAATTCCTTAAGGTAATTTAGAATATCCGCTCGGTTACTGCCTCTTTATCAGCCCTGGGTCGTATGTTCCTATATAATAAATGTCTAAGTTCTTTTCCTTTGCTATGCAAACCCTAACTACCTAGCTATTCTCCTGATATTCTCCTCATGTTTCTCTGTTGCTTCCCCAAGCCCTGTCTGAGGTAATAACGGACTTTCCCTCCGTTTAACCTTCCTCCTCCCCCCACCCCCACCAAGAGGTTCCAGAGCCTCTCATTGGCTGATGCTGCTTAGTATCCGCCTACTCTCCCTGTAGGCAGGGATTGGCTGGGATGCCTGGAGGGTGGAACTAGAGGCCGTCCATCACAGATGCCCATCCCCCAAAGACAGCCCAGGAGAGGAGAGGATCAGGTGGGCTGTGGTCCACCAGCCCTTGAATCTCTCTATCTCTCTCTCTGTGTGTATTGGGTGCATTCAGACGCACCATTTGATCTGGTGTCGTGCCAGTTCAGAAATGGATTTTATCTGCGCAGTCAACATCTGCCTCCAGTCCCCAGTTGACGCTTTCCGGCTCAAAACCCCTTTAACCCAGAGTATTTTGATATCAGCTCCCCAAGTGGTGTTTTCCTTATTCTCTGGTTCCAGCTGCACCTTTCTGACGTCTGATCGCTCCTGCAGTGTCGAGCCACTTCCAGTTTAAACCCCCTCCCCGCTCAAAAGCTGCCCGAGGCTTCCGCTTTTCACCCACCATTTTTTAAAAACATTGGCAGTGTGCACATAGGTGGAGGTCCGCCACAGGATTATTAAAAATGTTTTAAAAGTGCCTAGTTTTAGCATTTAGATGCGTTCGGGATCTCACGGAGGCCATTTTCGGGGTAAACGTTTAAAGGGAAGTGTTACAGCAGTCGGTTTAAGGTGATTAGTGCTGTTCTGTGCATCCGCGAAACTTTTAGTTCCACAGATGGCTGCCTGTGCGCATGCCCAAACTGAGAGAGAAAAAACAACACTGACGCACACTCCCGCCTGTGGATGACGGGGAGCGATGTGGCTGTGCAGCGATCCGGAGCAAGGTGGTGAGTGTGATCGCGATTTTCCAGGTTAAAAAAAACCGCATCGGGGTTGGAGCAATTCAAACCGCTCCCAGCACACCGTCTGACCGCACCCTATTAAGTGTAACGAGGTGCTTCCAACTCATTGTGACCCTATGAACGAATGACCTCCAAAACATCCTGGCACAGAATCAGAGTTGGAAGGGACCTCCAGGGTCATCTAGTCCAACCCCCTGCCCAATGCAGGGAATTCACAAATCCCTCCCCCTCCACACCCCCAGTGACCCCTGCTCCATGCCCAGAAGGTGGCAAAGAACCTCCAGTATCCCCGGCCAATCCAGCCTCGAGGGAAAAAAATTTCCTGACCCCAAAGTGGTGAACTGGCATTTCCCTGGGCGTGTAAGAAGAGAACTAAGCACCGAGTCAACCCTTCCTGTCCTCCCTTCTCGTAGTCTGCCTAAATTCACGGAAATCAGCATTGCTGTCAGATGGCCATCGAGCCCCTGCTCAAAAACCTCCAAAGGAGGAGAGCCCACCAGCCTGAGCCAGGTTTTGTCAGACGTTCTTCGGGGGGTGGGGGGAACCCAAGCGGCATGTGTGGGAAGAGGAGATGAAGACTGGTTTCCTTTGAGAAGCAGCTTGATAGAAGGGGAGGGCATCTGCCGGCTGGCTTCAGGGAGAAAGGTCTGAAGATCTCTGTGGAAGCTTGGCCGGTTCTGGCATTTGCTGCCCTTCCCTTCCCCTCCTGTGGGCTGCGTGTTGCTGATATAGCGATGCTTTTGCCAGAAGGGTAGTGCCAGGGTGCTTGTGGTAGCCCATGGGGGACTCTGCTCAGCTGTGGGAAAGGAGACAAACGGGGGGTTCTAAGCAGACTCTGGTTTGCCAGGGTCATCAGTCACATGCACCCCCATTTTGCCCATGACCGGTGGGTTGCTGTAGTGTGCCAATATGATGAAAAGTCTCACGGGAAGGACAAAATCTTACAAACATGACACGTGCAGAAGAAATGCCAGATATCTTTAAAGAAACGTGTCTTCCCCCACTACTGGCTGACATTTGTCTGGCTTGCTATGGAACTTTTACGATTCTGTTTTCCCCCCCAGCCTACTTGAGAAATGCTGTTGGCATTGGTGGAACACTGAGTTTCAGAACAGTTACAGCTGATCAGCGAGACCAAATGACCACAAAGACCACAGCCAAGCTACGTTGTGAGCCGCTGAGAGAAGATGATCATGACCTGGGGTCAGAATGCTGGGACTTGAACGAAGGCGACTTGAGTTCACTGCCCAGGACATGAAAGTAACTGGGAAGATCCTGAACCAGCCGATTTCTCTCAGCCCAGCCTCCTGCACGGGATTACTGCGTGTGAGAGAAAAATCCATCCATCCGCACCACCCTGAGCGACGCGGACAAAGAATGAAGGACAAAGGTGAGGAATGAAAGTACGGTGAATTGGTGGCAGCTTTACTGATTGTGCCTGTTTCTCTCTCTCATGCATTTAGGGACGTCCGTTTAGCTTCGACCAGGGCCGGGGCCTTTTCTGCCTTAGTCCTGGCCTGGTGGAATCAGCTCCCACGTGAGATCAGAGCCCTGCAGGACCTTTTACTGTTCTGCAGGGCCTGCGGAACAGAGCTGTTCCACCAGGCCTTTGGGTGATGAGACGGGCGTCCAGGAAAATAGCTGGGCCCCTGCTGAAGATATCATCTTATGCGGTATGGACTATGCAGCCTTGGAATCCAGTGACACCAGTACTGGGGACTGTACAAAACTGATGTATATGGTCTTAATGTTCTTTGAATGTTTTTTAATTATTATTATTACTATGTTGTGATGCCGCAAGGCATAAGGTTTGATCGTAATCCGCCCTGAGCCCATATGTGAGAAGGGCAGAGTATAAATGTGAAAATTTTTAAAAATTTAAGTAGGAAAAGGAAACACAGAAAGCATGCTTCAGCAAGAACATTTTTAAAAATATATCAAACTGCCATGTTATTGCACAGTCTGGATTCTGTAATGGGGGGAAACAGTAAGACTATATCAATATATATAGCTTTGATTTTAGAAATCCGTCATAAATATATTCCAATAAATTTAAATAAATTCATCTTCTGATACAGGTAAAAAAACGAACATTCAAGCTGATGTGAACATCTGAGTCCCTGCAGTCATCCAACAGCAAATCACCTGGAGGAAATAAAGGGAGAAAAGGTCCAGTAAGAAGCGGCTTTGGGTAGCTTAGTCTCTCACATGCATCTTTCTCCACTACTGACATTGGAAGGCATAACAGCTAAACCATATTGACAGTCATACCTGGATATGCCTGTTGTTGCGACACCATCTAGTGACCTCAGAGGGTAACAACATCATCGTGACACTTTAATGACTTGCCTTGAAGCTTCCACTTAAGCTATCGTGAATTTGGAATTGTCAACCGAGAGGTTGGTTTCCAAACCATGGACTGACGGAAGAAAGCCTGAAGTGTTGGAGACAGTATCAGAGGGTTGCCGTGGTGGCCTGCAGTGCCCTGATTATGGCCTGCAGCTAGATTCGAAGCCAGGAGCACCTTAAGAGTCCAACATGGTTTTCAGGGTATGAACTTTTGAAAGACAAAGCTCCCTCTCAAGAGCTCATACCCCCAAAATCTTGTTGGGCTTTAAGGTGCAACTGGCTTCGAATTTAGAGTTGAAGGATTCTTCCCTCAAGCCTATCCAAGGAAGGACCCTTTTGGTGGTGGCACAGCTTGTTCCGGGGCTGAAATGCCCTTCCTAATCCTCCCAGTAACAGCACTCCTGTGGAACCAATCAGAAGTGGTCAACCAGAAGTGGCCATACTCAGGGCACAGAATAAGAAAAAGAAATTGGATTTATACCCTGCCAGGGCCGGCTCGCTCACTAGGCGAAACGGCCCTTAGGGGTGCCAAACAGCACCCACCCTCCCTCTGCCAAAAGCCCTCTCTCTGACCAGGTGACCGCTGACCGCCACCGGAGGAAGCCGCCCAAGCCCGAGGTGGTGGCGCTGCTGCCCACCCGCCTTGTGGCTTGGAGGCGGCACCAGATGGACCCAGGCGGCGGGGGGGTTAGGTGCGCCCCGTGGCCGGGGGCTGCGACAGGTTCGCGGGTGGGTGGACGGGCGGCGATGGAGTTGTCGCCGCCGGTGGCGCTAAACAGGCTAGTGTGGTCAGTGGTCTTCTGGTGGCGAGGGAACGGGGCGGAGCTCTCTCCCCGCTGGGGTCCTCCTTGGCACCAGCACTCGGCCAGGCAGCGCGACCGGGGGCGGACAGATCCTTCCCAGGGCCAGGTTTCGGCGAGGTGCAAGGAGTAGCCTGGAAAGGACTCAGGAAACTGCGAGCGCTTGGTACCTGTTGCAGGGGGATCAGTGACCCACTTCGAGCCAGGGACATCGCGGGCCAGCGGTATTTGGGTGAGAGGGTGCCAGAGTGGGGGAGGGAGGCGGAGGCCGGTCGGACTGGGATCTGGTCTGGCCCGGAGGAGCTGGAGGAGCGGAGGGACAGTCCCGACTGGCACGTCTCCCCGAGCCGTGGGCCTCCTGAATGTCGGGGGAACAAGCAGGTGTGTGCGAGGAGGAGCGGGTGCTGGAGCTGCTGAGCTACGGGCTGCGTGGCAGCAGTGGTGCTGGGGCGCACCTTCCGCATGCCCTACAGGTGCTACTCGTCGGTGCTGCTGGGTGGCTTGGCCGGATGGTGCAGGAGGCACCCTCCTTCCTGCTGCCGCTCCTCCTCGTCCTCTGCAGCGACGGCGCCCAACTCCATTGCTGGCAAGAGCTACTGCCATTGCGGGGGGGGGGCGCACGGGGGGGGGGCAGAAGGGATCCTGCCTAGGGTGCAAAATAAGATACGGCCGGCCCTGTACCCCACCCTTCACTCAGAGTTTTAGAGCAGGCTATGCTCCTGCAGAGTGCAGGGGGTTGGACTAGATGACCTGCAAGGTCCCTTCCAACTCTAACATTCTGTGATTCTATAATTTAATCTCTTTTCTCTTCCCCTCCCCACAGCAGACACCCTGTGAGGTAGGTGGGGCTGAGAGAGCTCTTTTCCAAACTGCTCATGAGAGATCAGCTCTGAGAGAACTATGGCTTGCCCAAGGTCATCCAGCAGGTGCGAGTGGAGGAGTGGGGAATCAAACCCGGCTCTCCCAGATTAGAGTCCGCGCACTTAACCACTACCCTAAACTGGCTCTCAACAGAGGCCAAAGCTCTGACTCTTAGGTTATTTGAGTGGGGTTCTGGGTTTCACCAGTGGAGCAGACTACATTCACAGAGACACATGTCAAGGGGGTCGATCTTTGTCCTCTGAGCACACATGGTAACATTAGTAGGGAAGGGTGAGTTTCACAAAAAACCCCTGCAAAGCCCTCCCCAGACATCCCTCCCCAAACAATTTCACCTGGAAGGTGCCACACGCAACTGTAAGCCGGGCACGTTTCTGGCCACCTCTCTTGAGAAGAACACCGTTGAGAGACCGTCTGTCTACCTACCATCCATCCAGATCTGTGGCTGAGCATGTTCATATCTTAAAGCCGAGGGCTCTCATGCACTCCTTGTGGGCCTCAATAAGTGCTCCGCAGTGCTCTTCTCCTTTTTCAATGACGCTGCAAGTCAAAGGCTTTCAATTAGATGATCTCACACACTATGAAGTCTCTCCAATGGTGAGCAAGGCTTGACTTGTGTTAACGGTATCGGTTCTCAGAACAGGAGTGTGTTACTGTATTACTCTACCCTGTATTCTCTTGAGTTCCTCTTTTCAGAAAGGGCAAAAGTGGCTACCGCTTGGGGGGGGCCTATTCAGACCATTTCCTAGGGAGTTATGAACAGTGCTAGAATGGCAAAGACAGATCCAACCCCTTCCCTACAACTGCACTTGCAATTTTGGGATGTTAATATGTGCTGGGTTTTTTTAAAGGAAGCACTCAAAAGTCAAAGCCGGTCATGTGGGCTCCTAGTATTCTGCTGACAGTAGGAAAATCATCCAGAAACGCCTACCAGAGCCAAAGTCTGTATGCTTTCAGAATATCCACTAATGGTAGCTCTTTTTAGGGCCTAAATACTTCATAAAGACTGCTGCTATTTTCCCACCTTTCAGTAAGTAAAGGTAAAGGTTTCCCTTGCTCGAGGGCTAGTCGAATTCGACTCTAGGGGGCGGTGCTCATCTCCGTTTCCAAGCCGAAGAGCCAGCGTTGTCCGAAGACTTCTCTGTGGTCATGTGGCTGGCATGACTAAACGCTAAGGCACACGGAACGCTGTTACCTTCCCACCGAAGCAGTACCTATTTATCTACTTGCAGTTCCTTGCTTTCGGACTGCTAGGCTGGCAGGAGCTGGGGCCAGAGACGGGAGCTCACTCCGTCACGCGGCACTCGGGTCTCGAATTGCCGACCTTCTGGTCTGCAGCTCAGCATCTTAACCTCTGAGCCACCACAGTAACATCTAGTAAATAACACACAATGTGGTATGATCATGATTAAGAACTATAGTCTGTACTGCAGTCACTGTGCCTTAGCTTCTGGTAAGTAGGATCCTATTTATCTAATTTCTGTACTGCTTAACGTGTCATGTGAATGCTTATGCTGTGACTCAGTTCTTTCTGGTGGTTCCAGACTCCTACAATCCTAATGTGTTGGTTATTGAAGGTCCTGTTGACCGTACTGGCGCATTTGATGCATAATCCACCTTGAGTCCTTGTGAGAAAGGTAGATTATAAATAACGTGAATCAATAAAACAAATTTCTGTCTTCCCACAAGCAACGGCCATATGAACTAGAGTGGGGTGAGTAAAGGCTGACGCAGTGCTACTTTTTTAAATAGTCAAGTATTATCAGGGAGGTGCCAGTTGGCAACTACCCAAAGGTGTCATCCACTGAAATGAAATCCCAATGGGGACCCAAACAATGCTCCCTCTAAACTGTGGAGTCCTGTGAGCAAAAATTCTACTTTATGAGCTACTGGGATTAAAGTTGTGATCGAGCGATTTGGCGGCTGCATAAATTAGTTTGCTCTGGAGCCCTCCTTCCTGAGCTAAGACAAAAAGTGTGAGCCGGAGGCTAAGAAACTGCGAGCTAGCTCACACTAACTCACCTTAGAGGGAACACTGGACCCAAAGTGGTTTACATCATTCCTTTATTTTAACCTCACAACAACCCTGTCAGGTAGGTTAGGCGGCGAGTATATGACTGGCCCAAGATTCCCCCACAGATCCATGGCAGTGCTGATCCGAGATCTTAGTCCAACCACCACACCACAGTGGCTCAGTGGGGCAATGCAATGCTGGTTTGCACTTCCATACTACTGTGTTACGAACAGTGCACTTTCTGAAAGCACTTGGTAGCTGCTGGAAAACGTGTTGGCAAGCACCACATACAGGACCGGGACCCCTGATGCAGCTGAAGTTTAATTTGTGTGGTTTGTGTGCTATGCACAACCCTAGCCAGTGGAAATAGACCTCAAGCACCCCACGCAGCTTTTAAAGTATCTCTAAGCGCCGCAGCAGAAACTCTGTGGCACAAAAGCTCACACCGCCACATGTCCCAGGGTCTCTCTTACAGCAACAGAGACAGACCAGCCAGTCAAAGCCTGTGATCCTTGCGTGACAGCAGAGAGCTGTTCAGAGGATTACAGGCTGCCCGGTTTTCAGGTCCGTGTCAGGTCCTGTCAAGCCCACATGACTTGGCAGTTTCCTTGCCAAAACTGCATTCCCGGGCATGAAGGGGCCAGGAGTAGGGTGGCAGTATGTGAGGAGAGGGGGGCTTAACCCCCCCAACACACACACACACACTGTTTGACTGGTGTAGTGGTTAAGAGCGGCAGGACTCTAATCTGGGAGAACCAGGTTTGATTCCCCACTTCTCCACATGCAGCCAGCTGGGTGACCTTGGGCCAGTCCCAAGTTCTCTTGGAGCTGTTCTCTCAAGAGCAGTCCTCGAAAGAGCTCTCTTAGCCCCACCTACCTCACAGGCAGTGTTCCCTCTAAGCTGAGTTAGTGTGACCTAGCTCACAGTTTTTTAGCCTCCGGCTCACACATTTCTGTCTTAGCTCAGGAAGGATGGCTCCAGGACAAACTATTTTATGCAGCAGCCAAATCGCTCACTCACAACTTTAATGCCAGCAGCTCACAAAGTAGAAGTTTTGCTCACAAGACTCCAGAGCTTAGAGGGAGCATTGCTCACAGGGTGTCTGCTGCTGGGAGAGCAAGGGAAGGAGATTGTAAGCCGCTCTGAGATTCCTTCCGGTAAAGAAAAACGGGGTCTACAAACCAACTCTTCTTTTTCTAACCTAAAATACAGTAGTTGCTTGTCCCACACACACATAGAGTGTCAGCATGATGCAGGGGTTAGAGTACTGGAGAAGGATCTTGGAAAACCAGATCTGAATTCCCACTCTTGCTGGGTGGACCTTGGCTAGTAACTTCTCAGCCCAACCTAACTCACAGGGCTGTTGGGGGGACGACGACAAAGAGAAGAATGTCAACTACTTTGGGAGGGAAAGAATAAATGAAGTAAAACACAGTAATACCCCTAATGAGGCAAAGAAAGGCTCCCTGTAACTATTTTAGGCCGCGAAATGACAGGCAAGGGGTGCTGAAGGCCCCTTCAGTCACCACGGCCCCGTTGCAAGTCCAACCGAGACCTATCCGAGAGTTCAGTCCCAGCCAGGAAACCAGGCCTGGCTCTGCAGGTCGGGCCCAACAGCGACAGCAGGCCAGCTTGCAAGCGAACACGTGAGAACGCAGCGAGGCCGAGCGGGGGCTTCCTAGCGGCCCGTAAGGGAGAGGCAGGAGAGAAAGAGAACTTGGTGAACACCCGTGTACGTGTGAACCCTCCCCGGTAGCCGTGTCGCCACCCACCCACCGCCGGGCCGTCTACCCACCAGGCGTCGCGGGCCTGCTTTGTCTCCGGGCAGGCACAGCAGGGCTTGAGGGAAGGCGGCGGCTTCTGCTCGGTCGGAGGAGAGGCGGGAAGACCCGAAGCAGCGTTGGGGAACGCGCGCGACATGGTTCCCGCTCGCGCATGCGCAAACCCCGGGGAAAAGACGAGCAGCCGGCCGGCATTTCCGCCGATCAAGGACACAGGGCCCGGTCGATGCCTGTGACGTCATACTCACGCGACAGGGAATATACCATAGGGATCAAGGGGCGGGCGGGGGTAGAGCGGTGCGCTGCTTTGTCACAGCGTTTAAAGTTATAGGAAAGCACTAGGAATGGTCCCAAAGGGGCAGCGGTCTTATACGTGACAGTTTTGGGGAAATACCTGATGATTTTTGGGGGGTGGACTGGAGTCTGAGGAGGGTGGGGTTTTGGGAGGGGCGGGACCTCAGTGGGGTGTAATGCCATAGAGGCCACCTTCCAAAGCGGCCTTTTTCGCTCGGGGAACTAGCGTTGCTAGCCTCCAGGTGGGGCCTGAGGATCTCCTGCTCTTACAGCTGATCTCCAGGCCCAGCTGACAGAAATCAGCTCCCCTGGAGAAAATGGCTACTTTGGTGGACTCTGTGGCTTTGTACCCGGCTGAGGCCCCTCCCTTCCCCAAACCCCACCCTCTCCTGGCTCCACCCCCAAAGTCTCCAGGTATTTTCTAAACCAGATCTGGCAACCCTAAGGGAAACTGATCTATGTCGCCTGGAGATCAGTTGGAATAGTGGGAGATCCCCAGCCACCACCTGGAGGTTTAGAATAAATAAATGGAAGTACATCAAAGAGGGTTCTGCATATAACAACACAGTCAAAAACTGTAACACTGTACCCCAAAATACTTGGCACTCGATTCAAAACATTCTTATATTAACAGTGTAGGGCTCTAAATAACCATTCAGATCCATTCCAAAGACACCAGTGTAAATAGTCCAATACAGTTCAACAAATTCCTAACAGTTGATAAAATGTCCACAAAACTAAGAGGAGTAACAGTTGATAGATGTCCACAAAATATGCCGGTTGGAATAGATATAGACTGCTGTATACAGTCAAGAGAAATATGTAGAGCCTGGTGCTCCATCCCTGGAGGTGCTCCATCCCTGGAGGTGGCCTGAGGAAGTCCTGAAAGGAAAGGGATGGGAACATGGGCGGGGACCATCGCCACACCTCTTAGCAACTTTGTTTTGTGGATGTCTATCAACAGTTACTCCTCTTAGTTTTGTGGACATTTTATCAACTGTTAGGAATTTGTTGAACTGTATTGGATTATTTACATTGGTGTCTTTGGAATGGATCTGAATGGCTATTTAGAGTCCTACACTGTTAATATAAGAATGTTTTGAATCAAGTGTCAAGTATTTTGGGGTACAGTGTTACAGTTTTTGACTGTGTTGTTATATGCAATACGTGGAGGTTGGCAGCCCTGTTAGAGAGCTGGACAAGTGCACTTGATGAAAGAGAACGGCACCCTTGCCACCTACTGTATTTACCCACCCTTCTCTTTCTCAACATGAACAAAGAAAACATTGGTGGCACTTCCTGGTCTGACCCACATTAAATAGAAGTATATCCCACCAGATGAAAATCAACTAGACTGACAGTTGCATCATCTGCATACCAGACTTTTTGGTCACATTTCTGAATCCTTAACAAACCTCATAGTAGTGCCAGGGAGGACAGGATTCTACTTACAATAAGCTAAACACAGCAGTACAGACCACAGTCCTTCAATCTTTTATCTAAGCAAGTTTGAAAACCATTTCGTTCAGTGCAATCCTGCTACATGAGCAGAAAGGACCTATTGTTCAGTTTTGCATAGTTTTGTGGAAAGCCAGGTGAGTGGAGTGGGGGCTTTCCTGAACTCTTTGGGCAGGCCATTCCACAAGGCAGGAGTCACAGAGGAGAAGGCACATGTACAGGCAATTGTTGGTTTTGCCCATTTGCAGATTGGCACTAATGCTCCCTCTAAGCTGTGGAGTCTTGTGAGCAAAAATACTACTTTGTGAGCTACTGGCATTAAAGTTGTGAGCGAGCAATCTGGCTACTGCATAAATTAGTTTGCTCTGGAACCATCCTTCCTGAGCTAAGACAAAAATGTGTGAGCCAGAGACTTAAAAGCTATGAGGTAGTTCACACTGATTCAGCTTAGAGGGAACACTGCTCTGGAGCCGTTCTTCCTGAGCTAGGACAAAAATGTGTGAGCCGGAGGCTAAAAAAACTGTGAGCTAGCTCACACGAACTCAGCTTAGAGGGAACCCTGGTTGGCACTCACAGAAGCCCCTGCTGACCTTAGTGATGTTGTGGCGGAGCATAGGGAGCAAGGCGGTCCAGCAAATAAGAGTGGCCAAGGCCATGAAGGGCTTTGTATGTGATACCCAACACCTGAAACTGAGCCCAGTAACAGATAGGCAGCCAATGGAGCTTCTGCAGAATGGGAGTAACATGCATGCTCCGTCTAGCTCCCATGAATGGCTGTTTACCCCTCTCTCTCTTTGCACTTTTAAAGGAATGAATGGATATCACCCTGCCAACAAAAGTCCGTATGGTCAAAGCAGTGGTATTCCCAGTAGTACTGTATTACTGCGAGAGCTGGACCATAAGGCCGAGTGCTGAAGAATAGATGCTTTTGAATTATGGTGCTGGAGGAGACTCTTGAGAGTCCCTTGGACTGCAAGGAGATCAAATCAGTCAATCCTAAAGGAAATCAACCCTGACTGTTCCCTGGAAGGCCAGATGCTGAAGCCGAAGCTCAAATACTTTGGCCACCAAATGAGAAGGGAGTACTCCCTGGAGAAGACCCTGATGCTGGGAAAGACTGAAGGTCAAAGAAGAAGGGGATGGCAAAGGATGACATGGCTAGACAGTGTTATTGATGCAATGAACATGAAGTTCAGCAAACTCCAGAGGACAGGAGGGCCTCGCATGATGTGGTTCATGGGGTTGCGAAGAGTCGGACTTGACTGTGCAACTGAACAACAACAATAAGAACATGTAACTTACTTCATAGTAGCAGGCATAAGATCTTGCGGGCAAACAGAGCAGGATGCCCCTCAGATTTCAAAACATGCGAGATCTAATAGTGCAGCTGTTGCCAAGAAGCCATTCTCGATTGCACTGTTAAACAGACTCTTTTACTATCAATGCCTTGCTGGACTGTGAATCGTTAAAAGTGACTGTACCCTCTTTCACTATTCCCTTGTCTCACTCCTTCCCCAAGAGGTGTCACTCCTTTCAGCACATCAACCCTAAATTGTCCAACCGTCGTTTCTTTTGTCCCATCCATCCTTAGGTATTGTTTTTTTCTTCTACATTTCCTGGGAATCAGTGACTGCCTGGTTCCTGCCTCAGGTCACAAAATTGGCTACTTAAGGGGAACTCTCTGCACATGCAGTGGAGCTCTCACCCCCCACCCCACCTTTCAGGTTCCATCCCTGATCAGTTTGGGACCACTCCATGTGTGTCGTTGGCCGACTCACGATCCACTCCCTCTCTTTTCTTCCCTTTTCACTGCATGGTCTACTCATCTTGCCAGACAGGTAACGTATCACCCACCAGCGATATTCCTGCTAATGTGAAAGTCGCTGTCTTTTCCTGCCTATTCTTCCTAGATCTGTATCGACTGTGTATGCGTGATAATCATTTTTTGTATGATTGATCATTATTAAGTAAAAGACCAATTATCGCATCAGCCTGGTTCCCTCGTCTATTCATGGGCTCTGGGAATTCTGACTGGTATTCTGACTGCGCTATATGCCAACTGCCCTTTAATATCGTAGTTCCCCCCAAGCTTTTTTTTTATTGAGCCCCGGAGGGGATTTTTTATTATTTTTTTCAAACTACAAAACTACCCCAAGCTTGATAAGAAAGAAGGCAATTTGGCTAACACGGCCTCATTTGGAACATGGATAAGTCTGGTTGCCATATATACCTTTTTGAGATGCAGGGATCCTGAGGACATGCGCAGTGAACCCGTGGAAACTGGTTAAAAATAACCTTGGAAGAGCTGCACTAACTTAATTTCCGGGCACAATTCAATGCCCCACCCTTAACATCTACCCTGATATTATTATTATTGTTACATAGTACAAATATGTAAAAATACAGGAGATACAGACATTGAAACATAAGATGGACAGTATTCTTTCCCTGTATTAATCACCTAAGCAATCTGAGTGAGACAAGGAGTACAGGTGTTTCTTCTCCAAGTACCCCACAGATTGCTTCTTAAAATTAAACTATACTTCCCGGGATATTTACATGTTGGGAAAATCCCAACATTATCTTCAATAGCAACCAAAATTGGGAATATTAAATAATATTGCAATGAGGAGGAATTATTCCTTCTAGGTAATATTAAATCCACCCCAGGACTTACCCTCCCTCTCCAAATCCAAATCGGAGAAATCCATACCACCCACCAAGAGAGGGGCAAAGGCAGGAAAAGGCTGAGCCAGGGCACCCTCGATAAAGGCTGAGCCAGGGCACCCTCGATACCCACAAACTCCCGGCAGGGAGCAGTTCCAGAACCCAATTCCAATTCAGGCGTATCTAGGGAACACCAAGGGAAATCCCACAAATGCAGTCCGGGGACGGGAGGGACGGGGTACCCTGGTTTATTATTTCTTTGTTTAGAACATTTTAATGCCGCCTCTCCAGGAACCAGCCCCAGGCGGCTTGCAAGACAAATGCCAAAAGCAGGTTTTCAAAAGTGAATTAAAATCCAGCTGTAAAAAAACGAAGATCCAGCCCAGCATATAAATATGATGAAGAGTCCCAGAAAGCTGGAAAACTTGCACAACGTCTTGGGCGATTTTGGTCGCGCCTAAACAATTCCGGGTAATGAACCGGAGCTTCCCTTTCACAGTAAAAACCTTAGCGGGATTCCACCTGTCTGCGAGCAGAGCAACCCCGCATCGCATCCGCCGGTGAGCGGCAGCGCCCTCAGCCAATCGGCGTTAAACTCAGTGGGCGGTCCTTCCCTTTGGCGCAGAGTGACAAGAGGCAACTCGCCCCGCCCCCTTGGAGGGGGCGTGGCACCCACTCCGCCGATTAAAGCGAGCCCCGCCCCCTGCTCCACCGCGCTTCCGCGTTGCCATGGTTACGGCGTCTGCCGGCCTCGAGCACCGTCGCAGGGGGCCGCCGAGATGACCCAGTCCGTGACCGTGACGCGGCGGCAGGGCCTCGCCACGTCCCGGTACCGCAGGACAATGGCGCCCAACCGTGCCTTCGACTTCCTCTACGGTAATGGAGAGGGGGCGCGCGACGGATCGGGGCCGCGGGCGGGGTTGTGCGCGCCCCCTGCTAGCGCTTAATGGTAGCGAGGGAGGGCTAGGAGGCGGTACTTCCGGTGTGCAGGAGGCGACCCTCTTCTTTAATTTGCTGGTCAGGCTGTAGAAAGGAGAGGGGTAGATGTTTCGCCATAGAGATGCCGGGAGGACGGAAGCTGTTCCTTGCGTCTATGGAGAACCATAGAGAACAGCTTTCTCATATAGACCGGCACTTCCGTGTTAGCATCCCGTACTTCCGGTTTCTCTCACTGGAAGTAATATTATAGATTGCCAGGGGTCATTTTGTAGAAAAAGAGGTGCCGGCGTTCATTAGCATAACTTATTTGCATATGCCACACCCCCTGACATCACTGGAAGTGTGTCAGAAGGCAACACCCACCGCTCAGGCTCCACTGGACTGATTTGGATTGCTAGCTATTGGGGGGGGGGGGAGTTCAGATCTGTCCTCGCAGAGGAGGGAGAGCTTGTACCTGAATAAAACTTGGTCTTAAAGGTTCCACTGGACTGTTTTGGACTGGGGGGGGGGGCTCTGCAGCTTACCTGGCTGCTTCTTGCTCTGACTGAGGGCTGCTGGGAGCAGGGGGTGGGGCTTGTTGCATGTGCCCACCCCCTAGGCTCTTTACTGCTGGAGCTCCGCTCCTGTGCACTCCTGTAGGAAATGACCCCTGATTACAACTATCCTAGAGCGGGAGCGGCTTGGCCGGCGGACCGGATTTCCTGAATGCCTTGGATGGCTTGGTCGTCTCTACCCCGGGGTTGGCGATCCCCGATGTTTTCCCTCCCCTGAAAGTTTTCTTAAAGGTGTGCTGCGACTCATGAAGGGGAAATAATCAGAGCTGCTCAAACGCCCTCCCACAAACTTTTGCGAATTGCCTGTGTTCTCTCCATCCCAAGGACGGATGCTGCTTGCAAGAGCCTAGGGTGCAAAGGAGAAGAACTCGGGCTGGAGGAGAGTCCGCTTTTGCAGGCGCCCGGAAGCCGAAGGAGAACGTTCGCCCATCCCCAGGGACTGAAGGGATCACTAGCAATAAATTCTAAAGTTCGGTTGAAAAGAGCGAGAATCCAGCAGCACCTTAAAGACTAACAAAATATGTGGCAGGGTAGGAGCTATCGTGAGTCACGGCTCACTGAAGAAGTGAGCACTGACTCGCGACACCCTCCTACCCTCGGAGAGGGCGGACTCTAATCTGGGAGAACCGGGTTTGATGCCCCACCAGTGTTCCCTCTAAGCTGAGTTAGCATGAGCTAGCTCACAGTTTTTTAGCCTCCGGTTCACTCATTTTGGGGCCCTGCCACACGGGGCGGAAAGGGATGGGTTGAAGCGTGGCTTCTGAAAGCCGCACCAAAAAAAAAAAGCCGCGGCGGGATCACATTGATCCCCTGAGTCGCGACGCATTCCCTCCCTGGCACGATCAGATGCCGGGGGAAGCGACGGAGGGGAACGGGAAACTGCCGAACTGCGCAAGTCTGAGCATGCGCAGTTCAGGCAGGAGTCGGGGATGCGCCAGCATTGATGCGGCCGTCGTGGATGAACCACCTCGGTAGGTGGTTCATTTTTGATGCGTTTCATCGGGGGAAGGGCCGAACTGCGCATGTCTGAGCATGCGCAGTTCAGGCAGGAGCCGGGGATGCGCCGGCGTTGATGCGACCGTCGTGGATGAACCACCTCAGTAGGTGGTTCATTTTTGATGCGTTTCATCGGGGGAAGGGCCAGATCGGGGATGGGTGCGCAACGCTGTCCAGATGTTGCAGTGGGATCGCGCCCGTTTGCTCTGGCCCTGATCCGGCCCACTCCCGGCCCAAAACCCCTCGTGTGGACAGGGCCCAAGTCTTAGCTCAGGGAGGATGGCTCCAGAGCCAACTAATTTATGCGGCAGCCAAAATCGCTCGCTCACAGCTTCAATGCCAGTAGCTCACAAGGTAGAATTTTTGCTCACAGGACTCCACAGCTTAGAGGGAGCATTGTTCCCCACTCCTCCATGTGCTGGTGTGACCTTGGGTCAGTCACAAGTTCACTCAGAGCTGTTCTCTCAATCCTAACCCTAACCCCACTTACCTCACAGGGTGTCTGTTGTAGGGAAGGGAAAGGAGATTGTAATTGTAAACTGCTCTGAGATTCATTTGGGTAGTGAAGGGCGGGGTATAAATCAGATCTCTTCTTCCTTTACCCTGCTACAAATTTTGTTAGTATTTAAGGTGCTCCTGGACTCTTTTCTACTGCTACAGACAAACCCATCTTAAAGCATTTCCAGTTGTCCAGACTGAATCCATGACCATTGCCCATTAGCAATTGATTGGGTATGATGGGCAAGGGAGAAAAAGTTCTATTTCTCAATTTCATGTGTAATTTTATACATTTCTATCAAGTTGTTTGAGGGGGCTATCTTACTCAAAGACCCTTTGGTGCGGGACCTTGCCAAAAGCTTTTAGGAAATTCCTACTGGCAGAAAATAGTGAAGACTCGATAGTGAAGACTTGAAACGACTCTTACTGAAAGTGCTGAACATGAAGACAAAAGTAATGACTACGGAGGAATTATACAGCTTTAAGTTTGACAATGAAGAAACTGACATTGCTCAAGATGCTGTATTCCTTGGCTTCATCATCAACCAAAAGGAAGACTGCAACCAAGGAATCAGAAGGAGTCATTAATTTTGTCTTCTTGAGGCAGCATAAACATTTTCTAAAAAATTAAGATAAATAATTAGAAAAACAGATTGGATTTATACCCTGCCCTTTACTACCCAAAGGAGTCTCAGAGTGGCTTACAATCTCCTTTCCCACCCCACAACAGACACCCTGTGAGGTAGGTGGGGCTGCAAGAACTCTTTCAAGAACTGCCCTTCATAGAATCATAGAGTTGGAAGGGATCTCCAGGGTCATCTAGTCCAACCCCCTGCACGATGCAGGAAATTCACAAATACCTCCCCCTCCTCACCCGCAGTGAACCCTGTTCCACGCCCAGAACATGACAAAAAAATCCTCCAGGATCTCCAGAAATGGCTTCTTGACCCCAAAGCGGTGATCGGCATTTCCCTGGGCGGGTCAGAAAGGGCCACAAGAGCTAAGCACTGAGGCAGCCCTCCCTGCCCTCCCTACTTGTGATCTGCCTGAGTCCACAGAATCAGCATTGCTGTCAGGTGGCCATCTAGCCTCTGTTCAGAAACCTCCAAAGAAGGAGAGCCCACCCCCAAGGAACCCTGTTAGAGTTTTCCCTTGGATGACTGCGGCCCCGCCCCCGGCACGCCCGGCGTGGCTGCGTCACTTCCGGGTGATGTGCTGATGCTGGGCACGTCCCGTGCTTTGGGGGGGGTTTCCCCCCGGGGCCCAATCAGCCGGTGGCGGAGAACGGGCTTCTGGGGCGGGGGTTTCCCCACCCCCTGGGGGGACTTGGTAAGCCTACATGGCGACCTCTGGTGACTGACCCCTTACTGCGGACCTGGAGGATATTCGGAGAGGTTGCCTGCCCCTGCCTCCCGACTGCTGGTATTCCACGGAGGTCTCCCGTCCAAGTCCTTGCCAGAGTCGGCCCTGCTTAGCTTCCGAGATCTGACGAGATTGGGCTGGCCTGGGCGATCTGGGTCAGGGAAAAAGCTTCCCATTCTTCTGCAGAGAAGACACACATTTGATTTTCAGCCCGTCCCGCCTCAAGTTCCATGCCCTGTTCCCGGAGGCCAGGTTGGCAGATTCAAGACTGACATGTAAGAGAACCCTCCTCATGGTGGGAGCAATTCAGGGGTGGAACCAATTACTGCGGGGAGGGACTCCCCCTTACTAGAGGCCTTCTCGCAGTGGTTCCCACTGAGTTGCCAGCTCTGGGTTGGGAAATACTTGGAGATTTTGGGGGTGGAGCTTAAGGAGGGTGGGGTTTGGGGCATGATACCATAGAGCCCAACTTCCAAAGCGGCCATTTTCTTCTGGTGGACTGATCTCTGTCACCTGGAGATCAGTCATAATAGCGGGAGATCTCCAACTACCGCCTGGAGGTTGGCAACCCCAATAGGTACCCACATGTCCCAATTGACTTGGTACGGTGACTGGTGCAGGGCTGGCCCAGCTTTTTGGTGACCTATCGTGGGTCACCATACCAAAAAAGTTGGGAACCACGACTCTAAACGGTGAACAGCGTCCCTTCCAGCCGTTTCAAATTGATGTGAACGTCTCCCACAGCGCTATGTAGCGAAATAGTCCCCCTTGAATCTATGAATGTTTCCATTTGTTTCTTTGCATTTTAGATCCATTGTACATGCTCTCAAGCGAGAGGGACCACGCCCAAGCCACTGTCCATGCACATCTGATGAACGATGAAATGGTAGGTGGCCATTGTTTGAAACAGAGAATCCTTCTCTCACATGCCTGTAAAAATATATTTGGTGTGGCTGGTCATTTACACTGGAAATCTGCAAATTAGAAACTAGCATATTGTTCATATAGTTCACACACTGATTTACTATCTGGCTCAAGACAACCGGGTTCAACAGAGGTGGCCAGCTGCTACTACCACTGGGATTCATTACCAAATATCGTTCTTCTTCAGAATAATTCTCCACATTCCGTATTTACATTTGATTTACACAGTGAGAGAATGCCTGTCGACAACCACTGCCCTGTGATGCATTTATCTTGTGATGCTTGTATAATTCAGGGGTCCCCAACCTTTTAAAGCCTCTGGGCACCTTTGGAATTCAGACACGGGGCAGGGGGCAGCAATCACAAAATGGCTGCCACCGGCGTTGGAGCCAGTCGCAACATGGTTGCCGCATGGGGTGGAGCCAGTCACAAAACGTCAAAACAGAGCGAGGTTATATATAACTCTCAAAGTAACTCTTCAACATTTCAGGCAGAAGCTTAGTCCAGGGGTGGCCAAACTGCGGCTCGGGAGCCACATGCGGCTCTTTCACACATATTGTGTGGCTCTTGGCAGGGCAGCTGGGGACACGACATGGAGGCATGCCTTCCTGATTGGTCTTCCCTTCCCCAACCAGTGTTCCCCTCCCTGGGTAGGCTTGAGATGGGGGGGGAAGCAGAGAGAGATAAAGCAACTTTAACTGTAAATGCATCTTCTAAGACCCCCCTCTGCTGGCTGGCTTGGAGAAGGCATTTGTCTCTTTAAATCCCTTCACCAAGCCAGCTGGGGTGTCTTGGAAGATGCATTTATAGTCAAAGTTGTTTTCTTTCCACCTCTCTCTCCCTCCCCCATCTATTTGCTTTCTTTCCACTTTCTTTCCTTCCACCTTTCTCTCTCTCACTCTCTCTCTCCCCTCCCTCCCCATCTAAAGTTAAATATCATTATCGATATCCAGGGGTCATTTCGTAGAAAAAGAGGTGCAGGAGCTCATTAGCATAACTCATTAGCATAACTCATTTGCATATGCCACATCCCCTGACATCACCGGAAGTGTGTCAGAAGGCAACATCCACTGCTCAGGCTCCACTGAGCTGTTTTGGATTGCTAGCTGTTGGGGGGTGGGCGGAGAATGTGCAGATCTGTCCTCGCAGAGGAGGGAGAGCTTGTACCTGAATAATACTTGGTCTTAAAGGTGCCACTGGACTGTTTTGGACCGGGGGGGGAGGGCTCTGCAACTTACCTGGCTGCTTCTTGCTCTCACTGAGGGCTGCTGGGAGTGGGGGGTGGGGCTTGTTGCATGTGCCCGCCCTCTGGGCTCTTTACTGCTGGACCTCTGCTCCTGTGCACTCCTGCAGGAAATGACCCCTGTCAATATCTGTTTTTACCCCTTTTGTTTTTATTTTTGGCGGTCTCATTTAATGTTAATAAAAAGCAAAAATTGCATATTGTCCAATAAAAACATGTGGGTTGTATTTGTTCATATCTTGCGGCTCTCAAACATTCAGCAATTATTCTTTGTGGCTCTTATGTTAAGCAAGTTTGGCCACCCCTGGCTTAGTCAAACAGGGTATCTTTTATTGTGCACGATTATGAGCCTTGCTGGATAAAAGCCCCCCTAAGTCTCTGCCCCTTTTTAAGAGCTCTTGGTGGGTGCCAGGAATGGTATCAGTGAGAGACATGGTGCAGCCCAGAGACCCCACGTTGGAGACCCCGTTGTAATTTATAGTCCAAGGCAATGGGTTGGATCCAGACTAAATTTCCCGGCCCCTCCTCTCCCACGGCAGAAGAAGAAGAAGAGATTGGATTGATACCCCGACCTTCACTACCCAAAGGTGTCTCAGAGCGGCTTACAAACTCCTTTCCCTTCCCCTCCCCACAACAGACACCCTGTGAGGTAGGCGGGGCTGAGAGAGCTCTGACAGAAACTGCTCTTTTTCAAGGACAGCTCTTATCAGAACTACGGCTTGCCCAAGGTGATCCAGCAGCTGCATGTGGAGGAGTGGGGAATCAAACCCGGTTCTCCCAGATTAGAGTCCATGCACTTAACCACTACACCAAACTGCAGCGCACTGATCCCCACCAAATGCTGCTTCTGCCACAAAAGAGACCCTGAGGAATGACGTGGGGGTGAGGGTTCACAGCAAGGAGGAGAGGTCAGTGGAAGTTGCCATGTTAGGTTGGATCTGACCCAAACAGGGCAATCCCAAGCGTTATGTCCTTCTGTCCACTGAAGTCAGTGGGCCGAGAAGGGTGAAATTCTGCTCAGGACGGCACGTAAAAGCATTGGGGTCCTCTGAAGGTATGCACTGGCAGTTTGTAGGCCTTCCGTCCTATCTGTGAACAGGTTTTGCTAAGGATGTATGCTGTCACGAAGAATTTTGCTTCCAGAAAGAGTTCCTTGTAACTTGGTAAGTGTGACATCGGGCTTTTCGACATTTTCCTCATTTGTAAGTTCCCGTTTCTCCTGCGGGGTGGGTGGTTGTGTTCCACACATGCTTTGCTCGCTGTAGTGGTTGACTTGATATTGCACCAATGTATGTCCGGCATTAAAACTTGCAGGGATTTATGTTGGACATAAACAGGTGTAATATTGAATTGGCCACTAGAGGGAGCAAAACAAGCATGGAACAGAAACACCCTACACCCCGAAGAAACAGGAATTTACAAACCAGGAAAATGAGCATGCAGAAAAGCCCATCTTCTTCTCAGCTGAATCTTATAGATACTTGCAGAGTCTAAGAGTTCTTCTATGTCTATCGAAAGCCCCCAAATCATCCTCTAGGCCCCTGTACGTTCTCCATATCTGTGAACTGGAAACTCTGGCGTGTCTTAGTATAGAACCGTTACCCCAGATTATAGATAACATATTCTGCAGTTACGTTTCCACAAACCCTGTGTTTGGCGGTGATGTTGCTCTGAAAGTATTTATGAACAATCTTTCCTTTCCTTTTCTCACATCAACAAAGAAAAAGCTTCCGGTGTTCAAAGCCATGTTTAGCAACCTGGTTCACTATCAGCCGTACACGATGAAGCTGGAAGAGAAAAACCCCGTCCCCCCGTTCATCGACCGAAGGTGGAGAGGAAGAGCACAGCAGCGCCTTGAGGCTCTCCAGAAGCTTGCCCTGTAAGTCTCCCGCTGTCTGTCCGGCAGGGCGGTGGCGGTTTTTAAAAATTATACTCTCCGCAGAGAGAATGATTCAAGAGATTTGTGGTGGAACAGGATGGCTTCTTAACGGTTTAGAATGGTATCTGTGTTGGAAAACTGGTAGAAGTAGTTGAATATTCAGAGGTTGCAATTGATCTTTGTTCACTGGAGAAGGAGGCATTTTCTTTCTGTGTAAGAATCTTTATTTCTAAAGGGAAGGGTACACAGGAAAATCTACAAAACAACAAACACTAAGACTACATCCTTGCTGTTACAAGTACAACAGACTGACTGACCACACGGTTGGTAATGGAGATTCTTCTTTCTTCTTGACCCCTAGAAGGAAATCACCTGAATGCATTAACCAATGATTGTGAGTAAATAGGCTCCAGTTTCCCGGGCTTTCTTCCCATTGGCTTTGTACCAGGTCAGTCTAAACAACAGCACACAAGGTAAACACATTAACCCTATAATGACTGAATTTAAACCTTGCAACACACACACTTCCAACAGTTTGCAGGCTGCTCCCATCCCGGCTAAAATGCGGTCTGTAGAAACGCAGGATGGTTTATTTTTCTTGCTGCGGTCTGCACATTTCAAAGCTGACAGCGACCACCGTTCTTGAAGAGCTGTGGCATGCAAGACTTTGGAATCAGTATGTGTTCGCCAGACTCACTCTTAATTTAAACCAACAGACCTCCCCCAAAACTTTGCTTAAATTTAAAATGGCCTGGGTACCGATTACGAGCTACCTCTCGGAAAAGAAGGAGTTTCCAAAACACCTTTATCAATGTTACATATAACCTTTTTAGATATATATTGTATACGTTATTGTATTTGATTATTTAGAAATTTGTTTCTTAATATTAATATCTTTCTTATGATGATAGTATTCAGATTCGATGTATATAGTTTACCCTATTTGTTTTGATGTGTGTATGTGTGTGTGTGTATTAATAGGAATCTTTTCCATTAGCCTCTGATATTGTCATCATGTTTTGTAATCTGCCTTCTGATTGAGCGAGTGGTTCTTGTAATCCACTCTGAGTCCCAATGACAAAGGCAGGTCATCAATCAAGTAAATAAAATAAATGCATGGAGTCATGAAGAAAAACCAGGAGACCACTGGTCTTCTGGATTTGACCTGAGTCGAGTACGAGCTTCAAGAACCTGGTAAGACAACAGACACAGCAGGGCATTTCACGTGATGGACTGGCAATGGTTAGGGGTAGGGACACGTGGAGCACTTGGAGTATCCCCCTGAAACCATGAATACGTGGTACATTACATGTAGAAGGAGGAAGGGTCAGATGTTCCTTGCGAGATCAGGTTCCCAGTCTGGGAGTCTTCTTGGGCGTCTGTTGTACTCCTGCATTCCCAGAATGCTTTTCTTTTCAGCTTCTGCTGCTCTGCTGTCTGCTTTTTGTGCAGAACAGTCAGGACCTCCCCACAGTCCACCGTGACCTCTCTATCAGATTCTCGAACGTGTCAGACACATCTGACGAGGCAAAGCTTTTGTGTGGTATGAGCTCAGTGGGATCCTGTTCAATACTCCCTCTAAGCTGTGGAGTCTTATGAGCAAAGATTCTACTTTGTGAGCCACTGGCATTAAAGTCATGAATGAGCAATTTGGCTGCTGCATACATTAGTTTGCTGTGGAGCCATCCTTCCTGAGCTAAGACAAAAATGTGTGAGCCAGAGGTTAAAAAACTGTGAGCTACCTCACACTAACTCAGCTTAGAGGGAACACTGATCCTGTTTCTTCACCACGGAACCAGCCGGCCTGTTCTTCGTGCCCATTTTTCCAAGAGGGTAGCCAGGAAGTTGCCCCGAACGCAGCCGAAGCTGAAGCGCAGCACTGGGGGATTTCAACTTTTGTTCTTCCAAAACTGAGGTCATCCGAGCGACTGAAGGCAAAGAAGGCAAATGCTATTTCGGGGCCTAGGATGCGCTAATAGACGCCACAATGATTGCCCAATTGAGGTTCACTCTGTGGTTTAAAATAATAAAAAAGGACCACTCAAGAGCTTCTTATTTAACCAACATAACCTCGTATAATCTCAGGAGATCCCTTACTTCAGTGCGTTTTCAAATGATGCCTTCGGAGATGCTAGCTGGTCACTATAAAAAAAAACTCCAATAGACCCACGCATCTGTATATGTGGGAAGTCAGTGGAAGACCTTCCCCACTACATTCTGGCCTGTCCCTTATATGTAGAACCTTTTTGCTCTCAGATGAGGACCCCTTCATTTCTTCAAGATTGGCTCTCTTTGCCTTGGCCACTAGAAAAATTAGAGCAAAGAAATCAAATAGCACCATTGCAACCAAGTGAGTGATTTTGAAAGGTCTTATCGGTTTTAAAGACCAGAGGTCGAGATAATTTCAACAGGTGTTTTATACGTTTTAATAGAGGTTGAAACATTCTATTATATTTTTAATGTATATATTTTCTGAGGGTGTTTTGATATTGTGACGGCTTATGGCCATATGCAATAAAACGATACCTACCTACCTATTTCAGGGCCAGCTCCTCCACAGAGGAGTCAAGGGAGCTCCCTGGGTCTCAATCACCCAGGAGGCTTTATATACAAACTTAGAGAGAAAGGCAGACCTCTGAGGGACTGGAAGTCTCTCTGTCATGACTCAGGTGGGGTGTCACCTGACGCTGCCACCACTCTAGATTTAGGTTCCCTTGAGAAGGCCGAGAGCACCCTCCCAAGACCTTCAGACCTCCCTTTTGGCCGAAGAATAGGTGAGAGGACCAGGCAGAGTGAAACAAGGAAAAGGTTTATTTTATAGGAGGTCAAACAACAAGGTGCAGAATAATAAGTGGGTGAAAAGAAAAGAAATCAAATGCCCTAACGCGTCTAAATATATACTGTCCCTAGCTCACTATTCCAAGTGACACTAGACTACTCACCCTTCCCTCAGGATGAGGGTTTCTTCCTGCTGCAGCCTTTCTTCTGGCTCTGCCCTCTGGAAGAAAGAACAGCTTCTGCTCTGGCACCAGCCCTTCTGTTCCCCAGCCCTCTTCTTCCCTATTGGTCAATTTTGGCTCTAAAACCTCTCAGGGGCTTCTGGGAGTTGTAGGCCCAGCCTCACCTACTGCTAGCCAGGCTCCCTGGGCCTAGTAGGCCTCTGGTGGCACAGCCCAGATCATGACACTCTCCCAATGCTAAAGGCCGGGTGAGTTAGGAGGACCTCTTTGGTGAGTCATCCCCCCCTGAGCAAGCCCAGGAGTCTCCTAAGAGGGCGAGGCTTCAGCTGTCTCAGTTCAGTTCTGCATACCTTACTCCATTGTTACATTTGTTTTGGTATTTTTGCATTTGTGTCCGTGTGCCCATGCTTGGAAGTCATGGTGACCTCTGGCGACTCCTACTGGGGCACGGGGGATGTTTGGAGAAGTGGCCTCCCGGCCCTGGTATTCCTTGGAGGTCTCCCATCCAAATACTTTATTTATTTATTCATTCATCCATTCTATTTATACCCTGCCCTCCCCACGAAGGTGGGCTTACACAACATTTCATAAAAGTACAATTAAAACCTATATAAGCATATAAACGTATAATATAAATAACAAACAATTAAAATACAGTTAAAACACTGGAACATTGTCAGATAAAACAAGAGCAAACGTTATTTCTAATATGGCTTCGGTGACCGTATGATTACGATAACTTTCATACCAGCTCAGTTTGCTCACTTATTATGTGGTGGGTACAGGCTAGAGACAGCGAGGGTAGGCCGCTGGAGCAAAGGCTGGCGGTGAAGGTAAAGATGGTAAAGCCAGGGCAAAGGGGCACTCCTCGGTGTATGATGCGGCTCCTCAGTCAAACGCCTGGTGGAAGAGCTCCGTCTTGCGAGGCCCTGCGGAACTGTAAAAGGCTTAGCTTCCGAGATCCGACGAGATTGGGCTTGCCTGGGCTATCCAGGTCAGGGCCTCCATTGCTCCTTATTGAAACCACGATAGCCATCCTCTTAAGAGGAAGCAGCATGTAACTTCAGAATGCCGCCTCCCTGTCTCCAGACTGTTAGATTCGGTACTGAATTTTCATCTTGCCCTTTCCTTCTAGATCTCAGCCTTCGCTTCAGATTCCCAGAATTGAGTACGAAGATCCGGAAGTCACAGGAAGGAATCGCTGGAAGTATTTTGAACGGTGAGGCCTGAACGGGGCTAGTCATGTTGAATTCAGAGACAGAGGGTCAGCGTGACACAAGCACTGCTGAAGTGCAGGGAAGGACATGTTGAGCCAGCGTGGTGTGGTGGTTAGAGGGAGGCCCAGGTTCAGGTCCCCACTCTGCCCCGGCAGCTTACTGGGTGACCTTGGGCCAGTCACACACCCTCAGCCTCCCCTACCTCACGGGCGCAGCAACGATAAAAGGGAGGGGATGAGAAAGACAGAAGCTCTGCGGGATTTCCATTGCAGAAGGTCCCATGTTCAGTCCCCGGCATCTCCAGGTTAAAGGATGAGGTAATAGGTGATGTGGAAGACCACAGAGAGCTGCTGCCAGTCTGAGTAGACAGTACTGACATTCACTGGTCCTGGGTTCAGTCCCCGGCATCTCCAGTTAAAAGATCTGGCAGTAGGTGATGGGAAAGGCCTCTGCCTGAGACGCTGCCGGCCTGCGTTGACAAGGCTGACAAACTGGGATAGAAATTCTGTATAATAAAAATAAAGTACATGAAGCTGCCTGACACTGAATCGGGCCCTGTGTCCATCAAGGTCAGTATTGTCTACTCAGACCGGCAGCACGGAGTTCTTTCCCATCACCTCCTCCCTGGTCCTTTCTAACTGGAGATGCCGGGGACTGAACCTGGGACCTTCCGCACGCCAAGCAGAGGCTCCACAGCCCCCCTCCCTGTAAATAAACTTCCATCTCCCCGAGGCACCCCAAAATGATATTGTGTCACCCCTAGGAAGTATCTTGATCCAGTGGTTATACAGTTGCCAGGTCCGTTCGAGATGCCATTGGGGGGGATGGGGAGGGAAGCTCCGGGAGCCGTAAGCATCACCCCCGGTGTGCTGATGTCACCAGAAGTGGTGTCGCACACTGTGCCTACATCACCCAGAAGTGATATGGGCATATCAGGGGCAATGCTCTGGTTTTGGGGCAAAACTCTATGGTAAAATCACCATCAAGCCATAGAGTTTTACCTAAAAACCTGAGTGCCCCCCCCCCAATGTAATTGACGTGCTTACGTCACTTCTGGGTGATGTAGGCACATTACTCCACGTTGCTGTTGGGGGGGGGATTTCTTCCCATTGGCCCACTGGCTGGTGGTGGGCATGAGCCCACAAAACCAAGGGATCCCCCGCCCCCAACTGGGGACTGGCAACCCAAAGTGGTTAAGAGCCTTACTTAGGGCGGGGTATTCTTTAGTGGCAATTTCTTGCTTTCCTGTTTCTGGTGATGAAAACAGAATGGGAGTGTATGGTTTCCTTCTTCCTCAAGCTGCCCATTAAACTTCTAGTATATTGAGAGTTCATCTTTTGAGATGACACCTCCTTTCCCCTTGTCTCCCACGACAGCACTCACACGTGACGGAAGGAATCGGAGGGCAAACTGCACGTCATGCAGCCAGAGAGCTGTGATCACATTGCTCCACGATTCCCTCCCTCCCCCCGGGTTTTCAAGCACACCAATGGGGTATATTGTGGTTGCGCGCCCAGTCCATGGGAACCAGGCAGAACATCAGACAAAACACAGGTGCAGTTCTCATGAGATAGCAATAGGCAAGCATTACAGCATCTTCTCCCCCACACATCCACCAGTAGTTATCTTATGCATTCCAGCACAGAAGCAGGACAGTAGAAACAAGCCGGGTGCAACAGGGTAAGGATATGTACACAGAGGTCACAGAAAACAGAATGGCAGCTTGCTGACATACTGCCCCCCTTAAAATACATCTAAAACACACCTCCCGGGTCGGGCGGGAGATCTCCCGGGCTGGGCGGGAGACCTCCCGGTTTGTCCGGGAACCTCTTGTGGAAACTACGGATCAAGTAAGGGGCCCGAATATCCCCTTCTTCCACCCATTCGCGGTGCTGGGGACCGAAATCAACCCATTCGATAAGGTACCATAGTTTACCACGTTTCAATTTACAATCAAGGATATCAGCGATCTCAAAATGTTCATCCCCCTCCAAAATCGAATTTGACAACCCCTTCTTCCCACAAGATGTAAGGGTCATGGGTAAATAGCCAGGGACTCCCCAGTACCAAATCAAACTGCGACTTAGGGGTAACAATGAAGGTCCTGGATTCCCAATGATCGCCAGCCCCCAACCGCAAAGCCATAGTCTCATGCGTACAAGGTTCCATGGGCGCCCCATCCATTTGGGTAAAAATGATGGGAGATTTCAAGGGGGTTATCCCCGCTTCCAGTGTCAATAACACTCTAGGGCTGATGAGATCCCTCCCACACCCAGAATCAATCAACGCTCTCACCCTGACGTGGGTACCCAGGAGCGGATTCATTAAAGAAACAGTCACGAAAAACAGGGAAGGGGTTTCTCTCACCACCTTGGGCGCAGTGCTGGAATGGCCGTGTCGTTTTGCGCCTCTCACAACAGGCCGTTGTCGTTTTCCGCCGGTTCAACCTCCACCTCCTCTTCTGACTCGGCAGTAGGCGGCTCGGTTCCTTCCGGACCTTGGGCCGCCTGAAGAGCTTTGGAGAATCGTGGTTTGGCCATCCCCGTCTTCCCCGGTAGTGGCGTTTTAGGCTTCGGAGTAGGCGGCTTGTCTTTAGCTTGACGGCTGCCACAATCCACGGCGAAATGCCCCTTCTCCCCGCACTTTAGTCATAGCCCCATCTTCATGCGTAGTTCTCGTGCCGATTCCGACAGGCGTTGAGTCTTGGGTCTGGAGGCGCTGGCAGTGACGGGTCTGTTGGTCGTAGCAGCCAGGTCGAGCTTGATGGTGTTTAGCCGATCCTCTGCATTTTCAGCTTCCTGGGTCCAAGCCATCAGGGAGATAGGATTAACAGTCTTCAAAACCGTTTCGCGGATGTCCGCGTTAAGTCCCAATCGATACATTTCAGCCAAAATGTGATCGGGGTAGTCTCGGAGCTTTGCTGCCTGCTTGTGGAATTCCAGTGTGTATTCGCGAACCGACTTCTTGTTCTGACGATAGGTGCGGAGAAATGCTTTGGCCCTTTGGCTCGCGTTGACATCCTCAAACCGAGCCCGCAGCGCCCACATGAATGCTCGCAAATTCAAAAGTTCTGGACCGCGGTCATTGTGCAGTCCCACATACCATGTGGCGGCGTCTCCTTTCAGTCTCGCCGAGATGACATCAATGAGAGCAGCTTCATTTCGGACGAGGTGTCGGCTCTCTTCTACGAATTTGTGCACCCTCACCGTGAAGAAGGCGAGTTCCTCTGGGTTGCCGTCAAAGGTAGCCTCCAGTAAATCCTTGGGTCTGGGCCGTGGAGTCCTTACCAACGGTCCCAGCTGCCCCGGAACTCCCCCGAGAGGAAGACCCGGAGCAACCGGTGGTCCCGCTGGCACTGGCCTCATCGGTGGCGGCAGACCCGGCGGCAGACCCGGCATCGGCTGTTGCGCAGGTCCTACTTGCTGCGGAGGTCCGGCCGGTGGCTGGGCAGGCACCTGCGGCGCGGGAACTCCCGGTGCTGGGGCGACTTGCTGTTGCGCGGCGTGTGCATCAAGAAAATTAGCCATTCTAATGTCCATCATCCCCGGCAGAGCTTCCATTACATCCTGGAATGCCCTCAACAAGTCCCTCACCGAGTATTCCAGTTCCTCCAGTCGTTCCCCGGTGGTTTCCTCAGGGATCGGTTCTCGACGTTGATAGTCCGGGGGTGGGTCATAGTCTTCTTCCGTTTGGAAGCCCCCGGCTCCCTCCGAATCCTCTACGTGGCCTCGGGGCCCCGATGGCTCGAACATCCACTCCTCGAGGTCTTGCTTGGAATTCCCCTTCTCCGAGGTAGCCCCCGGCTCTGGGAACAATCCCTTGTCAAACAGACTTTCACGTAATCCGCTCCCTCGACGGGAGTACACCTCACGGGTGCCTTGAGTGTTGTACATAGTCCAGTCATCCTGCTGTTGAGTCTTCCGCGGACCCCAGTGCGAAGGGGTCGGAGGCGGCCAAGACAGATGTGCAGGCCGGCGGGGAATCGTTCCCCCCACGGCACCCTCCAGCGAGGCTGCCGTCACCAAAGGAGCGGAGGTGTGTGGGACCGATCCTGAATCCCCCTCCGTTTTCGGTAGGTCTCCCTCAGCTCCGCTCATGATCTTGCCAGATTCGGAACGATAGGAGAAAGGGAGTTCTAACAATATGTTGGATCCCCAAGCATCGAGAATAAATCCACGTTTTCAAGAAAAGCAAAATTTATTTCAAAGCGTTGAAGACATACTCAAACACGTTCTTTGTTAGAACTGGGGATACACAGTTAGGGCGAGCATAATAAAGGAAATTCAAACAGATACATATCCAATGAATAATATTCCCGCTGGCGGGCTAATGAAACGGTTGCGCGCCCAGTCCATGGGAACCAGGCAGAACATCAGACAAAACACAGGTGCAGTTCTCATGAGATAGCAATAGGCAAGCATTACAGCATCTTCTCCCCCACACATCCACCAGTGGTTATCTTATGCATTCCAGCACAGAAGCAGGACAGTAGAAACAAGCCGGGTGCAACAGGGTAAAGATATGTACACAGAGGTCACAGAAAACAGAATGGCAGCTTGCTGACACTAGCATATTGAGAGTTCATCTTTTGAGATGACATCTTCTTTCCCCTTGTCTCCCACGACAGCATTCACACATGACGGAAGGAATCGGAGGGCAAACTGCACGTCATGCAGCCAGAGAGCTGTGATCACATTGCTCCACGATTCCCTCCCTCCCCCCGGGTTTTCAAGCACACCAATGGGGTATATTGTGCCCCCTGCTCCCTCAGTCCTCAAAAATGCCTATAATCTGAATGGGCTCCCACATGAAGAGCACGATTCCAGTATAACAATGCATTAAAAGCACAAATACGCACACATTTGGGTACCCCAAAGTAAAACTAACTTGGTTAAAGAGGATGGAATGAGTCCACTTGTATCCATGAAGGCACCTTAATGTGTGTGTGTTTTAAAAACTGAAATATAAGAGCATAATATGGTATCCTGTATAATTGTCTGGGATGCAGAATCATAGAATCAGAATCGCAGAGGCTGGAAGGGGCCATACAGGCCCTCTAGTCCAACCCCCTGCTCAATGCAAGATCAGCCTAGAGCATCCCTGACAAGTGTCTGTCCAGCCGCTGCTTAAGGACTGCCATGAGGGGGAGCTCACCACCTCCCAAGGTAGCTGATTCCACTCTTGCACAACTCTGACAAAATATTTTTTTGCAATATCCAGTGGGTACCTTTCCACCTGTAATGTAAACCCATTCTTGCGAGTCCCACCCTCTGCTGTCAACAGGAACAGGTCCTAGCCCTCCTCTAAGTGACAGCCTTTCAGATACTTCAAGAGAGTGATCATGTCCCCTCCTCCAGAGTGAACATTCCCAAGCCAGTTTGGTGTAGTGGTTAGGAGGGTGGATTCTAATCTGGGAGAACTGGGTTTGATTCCCCACTTCTCCACATGCAGCTGCTGGTGTGACCTTGAGGCAGTCACAAGTTCTTTCAGAGCAGTTCTCTCAAGGGCAGTTCTTGAAAGAGTTCTCTCAACCTCACCTACCTCACAAGGTGTCTTCTGTGGGGAGGGGAAGGGAAGGAGTTTGTAAGCCACTCTGAGACTCCGAGTGAAGGGCGGGGTATAAACCCAGTCTCCTCCTCCTCCTCTCCATGTAGGGGTTGGTCTCTTGGATATCAGATGGGCACCAAAGAATAGCTGCATAATAAACTTGCTGGCAAAGATGTGGTTAACTTCACTGGTTTTCTGTCTTTTTCAGGCCTTTCATTCCATTTCATAAGCAGGTTCCACTGAACGTTGTTTATGCAACAGCCAAGTAAGTAGAGGCGGCATTTTTGTTCTCTAATTATGAAGCCGTTTTGGAAGAGTGGCTTTGACACAGGGAGAGGGAGCCGCACAGAGATGCCCCGATCCCCACGGGGACCCAGTTGTGTGGCCGTGTTGCACTTGGTTGTTTGAGACAGATCATTGTCTGGGATTATTACGAGTGGCATTTCTAGAATCGTTTGATATTGGCATAAATGTGACGAACAAAAATGTTCAAGAGGGCATTATTCTAAAGGAATTAGTACCGTTGTGAAAGGAGGACACTTTGTAATCTATTGCAATATTTATTGTATGTGTCTTCTTGCTTTCACTGCATTGTCTTCTACTTTCTGCATTGTTTGCAGCAGGCTTCCCCAACGTGGTGCCCGTGGGCGTCCAGGTGCCCACCATCACTTTTCCTGGTGCCTGCCCAGTGCTTTGAAAAACAGGTCACTGATGGGGTCTGAACTGGCAGAGACTGATCAAGAGAGAGGTCTTGGAATTGTAGTAGATAACTCACTGAAAATGTCGAGACAGTGTGTGACTGCAATAAAAAAGGCCAATGCTATGCTGGGGATTATTAGGAAGGGTATTGAAAACAGATCATCCAATATCATAATGCCCCTATATAAATCAATGGTGTAACCTCATTTGGAATACTGTGTGCAGTTCTTAAAAGGATATTATAGCTTTGGAAAAAGTGCAGAAAGGGCAACTTGAATGATAAAAGGGTTGGAACACTTTCCTTAGGAGGAAAGGTTAAAGCGCTTAGGCCTCTTTACCTTGGAGAAACGACGACTGAGGGGAGACTGGACTGGATGGGCCTTTGGCCTGATCCAACATTGGCATCTCTTATGTTCTAAATGGATGTCACACACATACCCTGCTTTAAGCCTTATACCTATCTGCATGTCACAATAGATACCTTTTCAGGTCACATATGGGCCAGGGCATTTAAAAGGGAGACCACAAAGCATGTCATAACACATCTCGTCCAGACAATGGCTGTAATGGGAATTCCAAAAGAATTAAAAACGGACAATGGCCCTGCCTATGTTTCTAAGGAATTCCAGAATTTCTGTACCCAGTGGGGAAAAAAGTTAAAACATGAAATCCCATATAACTCCACAGGACAGGCCATAGTAGAACGTGTAGTAGAAACGTGCCACCACACCCTCAAAAACTCTTTTACATAAACAAATGAAAGGGGAAAAGCCTTTTGGCACCCTGGATGTGCAAACAAAATCGTACATACTGCTTTTTAAACATTAAACGCAGACAATCAAACTCCTCATGATCGCCATTTTGGCAAGCAGAGACCAATGCCACGGCCTTTGGTATATTATAGGGAGCTACCTGACCCTAACTGGAAAGGCCCCTTAATAACATGGGGACGAGGGTATGCCTCTGTGCTTTCCCCCACAGGTCCATTGTGGATTCCTGCCATTTCCCTATCATCCTTCAGTACTCCTTTTACCCCTTGGTCATCCAAGGGCCCCACTGCCTCCCTGGCTGGTTTCCTGTTTCTAATGTATTTGAAGAAAGTTTTATTGTTGGTTTTTACGTTTTTTGCTATATGCTCCTCATATTCCCTTTTTGCCTGCCTGACCTCAGACTTGCATTTTATTTGCCATAGCCTGTGTTCCGTTTTATCAGCCTCACTGTGACTAGCTTTCCACTGCTTAAAGGAATCC